AAAAAAAAAAAAAAAAAAAAAGGATAAATGGTAAAAAAATAAATAAAAATAAAAATCATAAATGACAGAAGCAGGTCACCTTTAACCCATGGTGGCGCATGACCCGCATCACAGGAAGTTGTTAGTGATCAACAGTCTGCAATTGCAGTGAGCAGTAAGAGCCGTTGAGATCTATCTATTTTTGGTTTATTCCCATTCACAGTTTGTTTGATGTGCAATTCGTCCATGGCAATGTCAAATAATGGGTACCTGGGGCGCCAGGAGAAGCATTTAAGAACAGTTCACGCGGGTTACGATGGTGATGTTTCTGCACCTAACGCTACAGGTCTCCTACTAAGGTAGGCAGTGACTTCCCTTTTAAAAACACAGCCTTGTCTTATCTAGTTTATTTTTCTGTTTCGTTTATGTTAGGGTCCGCTTCGTACATGTGTGCGCGTGTGTAAACGTGCACATGTGGGTCAGTCGCGGGAGGTTGGCTGTTCAAAGTGGAAAAGTATTTCGACACAATATTCTTGAATAATTCAGGAGGTTGGGCAAGACCCCTTTTGCCATATTTTAATTTATTTGCATTTTTTCCAACTTTGTGCTAACACTGGGGACTGTCCCCCATTGCACAAAGGAAATTCCACAGAGGAAGGTTTTGGTGTGCAGAACTTGACTTGTTTCACTAGAGCCTTGTTCTAGAATTGTGATCGAGCCCCTCCAAATGAGATACGTTTCACCTGTAACAAACTCGCAGCTTGCAGTACATCCCAGCCGCGAGTTAGTAATGTTAATATAACACAGACCATGAGACGTGTGTCGACATTTTTCTTCTTCCTGTAGATGCCCTGAACAGTTAACCTATACTTTTGTGAACAATTTGCCTCTGTCAACTGGTGAGACACAATCAGAAATGAAAGGTGCTGCTGAGGCCATTATAAGTTAAAACATACTATAGGTGCTGACAGTCTTATTTGTAACATCCACAGTATGACGTGTCTAAATCCTTGGCTTCTGAAACATTACTAAAAATGATGCATGGCCACTTAGAGTTGAAGCTATATATTGGACATTTCCTACTTTAGATGCAGTGAATCGATCCTTCATTCCAGTGCTGGGCTATCAGTCCACGCAGTGCGCTTAAAATAGAACAGAATCGTACAGCTTGAGGAGCGCGTTGCTTAGGTGGGTCATCCTATCTATCTATCTGCCTGGCTAAGTGTACAGCGTTGTGAAGATTACAATGAAAAAAGACTTTAACTTGATGGACTTTGTGCTACTGTGTTTGGGTTCATTTCCCTGCTGATCGCAATGATAAACAATGGACCTTTCTTCATAGATGCATGTGTGGAGACCATTTAAGGGAAGCCAGAGGAGGTGGATGCACACAGTGGATACAAGTCACTCCTGATTCAAAATGACATTAAACAGGCACCTTCTCCCCACTCTGTTATTGGTCTCCTGGTTCTATAACAGCCTGTCTGTTTGCAAGAGCTCTGGCCTACATATCGTGCATAAGGATGGGAAAGGCTCAACCGCACCCCAGAGCTGGGAACAGCAGCTGTTGAGATGGATGCTGCACAGATAAAAGCCAACAGGGAGGGTTTTACTTTTACTATGAGCCATGTCAGGCATCAGTGAGCTTTCTGCTATTCCATTGCCCGCTTCCCGCTGCATCTGTCAATGAAATACTTGAGGTTAAAAGCAAATATAGTCCACTTGACTGAGGCATGAGCATGACTCATGGTGCTGATGCTAATTGGACAAGTGCAAATGAGAAATTAGTTTCTATTTCTCAGAGAAGGGAGTAAGTGGGATGTCTTGCTGCTGGTGATGAGCCATATAGTGACACACTCTTCATTCAACCATCATCCTCAAGTTACACATAGCCCAAAATCGGTATCAAAACCTGATGCAGGCCTATTTTCACTTTTTCTCATTCTTTTATTTCAGCCTGTGTGTGTGTGGCGTGTGCGTGCGTGTGTGTGTGTGTGTGTGTGTGTGTGTGTGTGTGTGTGTGTGTGTGTGTGTGTGTGTGTGCGTGTGCGTGTGCGTGTGCGTGTGTGTGTGTGTGTGTGTACGTGCGCGTGAGAGAGAGTAGCAGGATAATTACACCCATGCCATGCACACACACTTATGATCATATGCATGGTCAGATACAGAAGAAAAGAGCTGTGGTACTGATGCTGAAGAGCACTAGTTACACAAGAGGGGAAGAGGAGTTCTCTGACACGCGCGCACACACTCACACAGCAATCTTTCTTTAGCTTACTTTAGCATGGCCTCTTCCTTCGCTTCTTCCTCCCGTTGCCGAGCCAGTACAGCCATGATGATCTTCCTTTCGTCCTCAGTCAAGTGGCTCAAGTCGGGCTCTGGGATGGCCTGAGCGACGGGTGGACCCCGAGGGCCTACTGAGGCGAACATCTTGCCCACCACCACCCGCCTCTTCCTTCCCGTCGATTGGGATCACGGATCACGAAAACCCGCTGGCGGAGCCCACGGATCACGACATGGCCTGCGGATGAAGCAGTTTAAGGAGCGACTGATGCGGAGTTCCCATGACGGTTGGGGGGAGGCACCCGGCGCGGCAGCGGCGAGGGCGGCGGCGACAGTGTGATAGTAGCTATGACAGCGATGGTGGTTGTGGTAACGCCAATGTTCCAGATTGCCGTTCTTGCCTCTCCTTTTCCCTCTTGCAGCTCCGGTATCGAACCCCCACCCCCCTCCCACCCGCCCGCCGCTCCCCTCCACCACCTCTGTTTTACGGGGAGCCCATTTCTCCGGCGGTCGGTGCGGACGCGGGCACACGGGGATGATTCGAGTTCCGGCCGAGCAGAGGAGAGGGAGGTGGCGACGGAAGGCGGTCTCCGCTCGACCACTGGCCTGGCTGCGTCGCTGCAAGGCGAGGCAGACACTTCTTGCTGATGCTGATGCTGCTGTCAAGGAGACAGAGCCGTCAATGGGACCGCAGCCCCTCAAGCGCGTTCACTTCTCTTGCAGCAGGAACGCGCCGCCCTAATTTGAGAATGGGGGGCTCCACTCGAAGGGGAAAATGCGCGCTCACGGCGGCTTGTCGCACGTATCAAAATAAAGGGTTTCCTCAAGGGCGAGAATTCAGCACCCCTCCCTCCCCTCCCCGCTCCCCTAACTGACTGACTGACTGACTGTTATGTTACAGCTTCGGGACATTTACCAAACACAATAACTTTCAAGTGTTTTGTTTTTTTATATAAAGCTCTGTAAGACAACCCATGTCTTCGAGATGAATTCAATTAAGCCGTAATTATTTAGTTTATTAACTTCATGTAGCTGTCTGCTCAATCATCTTCTGCTCTTTTGGTTCCTGTCTCTTTAAGGCTTAAACGTACCCCGCAAAAGAACACCTTTCTCTGATTGGTCAGCTTTCGGAATCCTGTAAAGGGGCGTCACACTATTCAACATTTTCCTGTCATTTACATGAAAAGTAACACAACATTCATTGGCTAAGTCCAAGTGAACACAATACTGTAATGCCTCCTCCGTCGCGGTGGTTATGTTCCTGACGATCCATGCAGTCAGAGAAATTCTGCATATAAAAATATCACATGAAATAATTCTAAGCTTCTCATACTTACTGTACTTCAAACAAACTTTGAAAACAATGTAAACATATTTCAAACACATGTACTGAAAAAGATCAAGGGCAATGGATAAAAAAAATATATTGTACAAACAGTATGCAGATCCCGTTTTTTTCCAAGCTAACAGACTTAATGTATCATCTCACAATATATAATCAATAATCATAGCCAAAGATGAGCAGTATAAAACAGACCTCAGCAAAGTACAGCCCAACGGCCACATCCAGCCCACCCAGAGTCTTTGACTGGTCCTCACAAAGACCGTGAAATCCAAATAAAATGTAAAGTATGGGGTGCTATTATTTTAAAAGTTGTGCTTTTATATTATGTGCACACATATGGACGATGGTACAAGCGAGGTAGCAAGCAAATGCTTCAATGTGTCGTCTGCTGTGTTGCCAACTGAGCAATGTTATCACTGTATAACAGACAACATTTGGCATTTATTTGAACTGAACAGATTGAAACGTGCCAGATACACAGAAATAAAAATGTATGAATAAATAAATACCAAAAATAAGTACCCATAATAATCACACACTGCATTTAAGTGAAAAAATAAGACACACAAATGTAATTTTAGAGGGAACGTCAAGACCACTGATCTTGAAGCTCCTCAGAGAGTCCGCAAATGAAAGATGTTTTTTTTTGTTTTGTTTTTTTGTCCAGCCTCATTCCATTCACTTTCGGAGGCTAAAATCCTCAACTCGATGGCATAGTCTGCAGCTGACTGAGAACCCTGATGTAATGACATGAGCAATTTGCCTGACGACTGATTGATGAAGGGCTGATCAAAGACTTGACACATCTCCTCAGAAAAAGCAGCAAATGATTCCAATGTTTCTGACTTTGACTCCCACAAGGAATTGGCCCACCTCCCTGATCTTCGCCAAAGCAAGTTAATGACATAGGCCAACTTGGCGCGATTATCCAAATATGCACTAGGTTGTTGCTCAGAAACCAAGGAACATTGCAACAGGAATCGTCCACAATATCCTACCTCGCCAGAATAATATTCAGGTGATGGGATATTGTGTTCATGGTGAAAAGATACGGCATTATTATGTGAGTAGATCGTTCCCTGAGTGGAGGTGTGGAGCTCGGCCGTGGTGGAACATTGGATGTCAAAAGGACAGCCATTGAGTTGACATTGGTGGAAAGGTTTTGAACAGAGTCCATAACCTCCTGATTGGTGGTCCCCATTTTTAAGAAGAGGGATTGCAGGGTGTGTTCCGACATAAGGAGATCACACTCCTTAGCCTCCTTAGTAAGGTCTGTTTAGAGGTGCTAGAGAGGAGGGCCCATTGGAAAATGAAATCTCAGATCCAGCTGTGTGGATTTCTTCCTGGCCATAGAACAATGGACTCGCTTTACACCCTCGCATGGAACCGTGTGTGTGCATGGGAGTTCGCCCAACAGTACAGTACAGTACAGGGAACAAAGTGTTACCGCATACAGCCATCAGGTCATGCAGACCCCAGCCATGACCTCTCTTCCCCTTTCCTGCACCCAAATTAGTGCCCCCCCCCTGATTTGTTTTATATAATTTGCAAAATCGCAGACATCATTTAGTCCAACAAAAAGAAGTCAGTCAGTTACATGATCCTCAGCCTCTGACCTCTTTCCCTGACCTCCTCCTCCTTCTCCTCCAAAATGTCTTTTCAGCTTGCATTTAGTCCCCTACTTTCTTTCAGTTTCTGTCGCTTCATTCATTTCAGTCATTGAAACATATTTTTGTAAGTCCGTATAGAAACATTCCAACTAATCTCTCTCTAAACTGTGCATGTCAGCAATTGGGCACTGTGTTTTACGCTTTCAGCGTACAGCAATTGTGTGTAGCGCATTAAAAAAATCGAACCTGAGGTGTATTTGCATTTTGCATTTCTCCTCATACAAAGAAAGTTTATTTGGAACATGTGGTTGACAGAGCGGGAAACAAAAATGCGACCAAAAAAATGTAATGCAAGGCGAGCACACATGATACCGTGTAATCATTGATACACGCAATCATTGCTCTCTGCTGAGGCCACTCCCACGAGCAGAAGCGTCTTTGTCCGGGCTTCGCACTGTCCAGTTGCCATAACCGACCGGGGGAAGAGTTTATTTTGTGTTTGCAAATAATATGAGTTTACGCAGTCCAAGCTGCCTTTGTTACCAATCTAGGAGAGTCAAATAACTACACATTGGCTGGCTCTGTCAAACATAGTCAGAGAACCCCGCTCAGCTTGTACTCCAAATATTTTTATTTATTTATTTATTTATTTTCCAAAAGTTGAGTCTATGTTACAGTATGTGAGTTAAGAATTACAGTCTAGATGAATAAAGCACTGGTTTGTTAAATTAAAAAAAAATACATACATGCAGACAGAACTAAATAGAGAGGGACCAGTTACATAGAACAGTAAATGCACTTTCGTGTTAGTCACCTTGTCATCCCCAGTGATTGTTTTAGCCATCAAACATAAGGTCCAAAGGACCATGTGTGCTTAACAGTTAACTAAATACTCTCCAGTGAGTTAGGATATTTAGGCCAATTTGTCCTGCTTTTAAAATCTGTTACAATGTTCTGACGTCTTAAATTTGTCTCCTAATATTTATCACCAAAGATGTTTAATATGAATGTTTAGCATCATTTAAAAAGTATGAATTTCAGAAATGTATCCTATTTCCATAAAATTCTTCTTGCGGATTATTAGTTAACAAAGGAAGCATCTCAACATTTACTGTAATTAGTAAGAACATTATGCAACATTTTGTTTATCTTTTCAGCCACTTTTACACTCACATATTGTGATGAAAAGCGTCACTCTGGTCACCCTCCACTTGATCAGTTTTGATAAAGATCGCGAATATGGAAGACAAAATTTATTCATGCTTATTACAAACTTGACATTTACTAACACTGATTTCTGGACGAGTCAATTTGGGCTGATCCACAATGTAAAATATGGCATAAATCCTGAACAAATTCGAACAAACCTGGGCTAATTTTATTAAATTCACAAACCTCTATTCAATGATATGCTCAATTTTGATTAATAGGTGATTTGACTTTTTTTGTAACATAACTACATCATATAACGTGTTATGATCTCAGGTTTTGGACAGGTATGACACTGGTTTGGCCACTGTGTGTGTGTCTCATGTTGTTCACCGTCGTCCAGAGGATGGTCAGGAAGTATTGTATTGTCCAATTTGTGTAGAGTATATATTGTCCTGTACCGTATGTATTGTCCAATGTATGTTGCGTAGTGTATGTGTATGTATTGCTCAATGCATGTAGCAGCACAGAGGGCCTGTCCTCCAAGACCAGTTTCTCCTGCGGGAGACCAAATAAAAGTCAAATTCAATTCAAATTCAAGTTTGTGTGAATGCTTAGAAGCATGCACAATTAGAGGGAACATCGGTTACTCCAAACATACTTGCATAGACCGATAGATGGATGGAAGGAAGGACAGACAGATGGACGGATAGATGGATGGATAGATTGATAGATAGGAGTACTGTACACAGCAAAGTGAAATAAAAAATTAAAAATATAACAAATACAAGTCAACATTTGGGGGAGGTCAAAGAAAATTAGCATCTAATTTAAGCAGGAAGAAAAGGAGATAAGATCGAGATTTTAAAGAAAAGGAGACCAAATTTCCAAGTCTTTAAACAATGTGCGTATAGTGTCTCTATTACCCATTTTAATTGAACCTGTGTTGAAGTGTGGACGACTGTGATAGGTTAAAAAGCAGAGGTCAAATTTGTAAATGTGCATATATGTCATGACAATTAAAATATTTTTCTTCTTGGGGACTGCAGTAAATCGTGACATCAAATCAGTTAAACTTTGTAGACTCAGTAATTCCCAACATATGCAGTGACAGATCATCATGCAGGGGTGCCACTGGAAACGACTTAATTTCGCTTAATATGTCTAAAAATATTATTTATTGATTGCATTTCCTGATCATCATTATGTCGTTACTATGTTGTGACAGTTTGGTTTGGGGTAAAGGACCATGGCTTACAATTACAGCGTCTGGAGGATGTAATTATGTTATCCACTAGGGGGCGCCATGCACCTTCCATGTTGGTTTTTATTCGACTGATGATACCAAAGAATTTTTTTTTTTTCCCCGGATTGCTGAGTAAGGCGGAACTACGGAAAGGACGTATACAAGCAGTCAGCCAGAAAAAGAAACAGTGCAAGTTATGTCACTTTAGTGATCCATATTGCATCAAGATACCTTTGGGTAAGTAGTGGTGCTTTTTATTGCCTTTCAACAAGTTACGTTTATAAATAAAACATTCTGGTCACATGACCATTTTGACAATTACACTTACCGAACACATTTCTGTCAAAACATGTATTTTTGCCTTCCTTCTCTGTCTGAAAAGCAACGTTGCATAGTCGCTTACATTCACTAATTAGTATCGTAACCGGTTGTTGTTGTTGACATTTGCTGTAATAATATTATTATACTGTATATTAGCCACTCCGTTTGGAATATTTTTCCTCAGTTTGTGTACATTATAAGGTGAATATTTATATACGGGACATTTATTTAAAATAAATTAAACAAGTTAACTTGCTTCTCTGCTGTCTGCTGTTTGAATGGATTAATTATTGCTCTCTTTCAAGAGTTTTGTCTGACCACCTTCGTCACAAGAAAATGATGTTTCGTGAAACATAGATTCTGACTTTCAGCGAATTTACTGCTCTCATCTTTCTATGGCTCATGTCGACAATTGAACCTCTCTGTAACAGAGAAACTTCAGAAACGCCTCAGGGATGTCAGTTTGTTTATTTATGAAAAGAGAAGCTAGTTCCTGCATCCATGCATCTATCCATCCATTTTCTGTATAGTGTATTCTCACAATTGTGACACATTCTGATTGATAATGATAAATATGTTTTCGTGTCGCTCATGATGTGGTGGTACACTCGGCTGACTTTGTACAGCGTGGGATCGGTTCTCACGAAGTGATGGTGTGGGTTTGCAGTGTGAATTGTAGTTTGTATCTATATGTGACCTTGCGACTGACTGACGACTGCTTCATGTTGTAGTCTGCCTTCCGCCCGAAGTCAGCTGAGATAGCCTCCAGCAATTCCCCCTCAACCCTGCTCAGGTGTTGAAAGTGGATGGATGGATGGATGGATATGTATATTTTTTGTACCCTTGTCGTCACTGGTATCTGCCGATACCTAGCGCAATCTGTTACCTGGGTAAGGTATTAAAAGGAAAAAGATGGCACATCCAAATTGTTTGAACTGTCTTTTTTTCATTTGAATAAAACATTGCAATAGTTCAAAACAACAAATAAACAAAATCTTTTTATAGACAAAATAATAATGCAAACAACTGATCCATCCATTTCTAATCTGTTTATCCTCACATGGTCACCGTCGTGCTGGAGCCTACGAGTTGGCAAGGGACACCCTGAACTGGTTGCCAGCCAGTCGCAGTAATGCAAACAAACTGCTTTGAAATGTCCCATCAGTAGATACACAAACTAAAGTCTAAAAAATAAAATTTGTTAAATTTCAATGCAGTGTCAATGCAGTAACAAAAAAAAAGATATTAAATGCCAGTGCTGTAGACTAACACTAATTTGGCCGCCCAGGCACCCTAATTTTTCAGTGATATGCTGAAAAGAAATTGAGTGACCTATGCCCATCAGACAGAGTGGAAATAGCTGTGGATGATTAAATGATAAGAATGATTGACCCATTATTGAATGTTAAGCCCTTATATGTTCAAAAGTCCAAACCAACACTCTGACACAGAGCACTTCAAGCATCAATACCTGTACTTCAGAGTAAGTTGCCAGATGTGGAATTGTGATTCAAATGAAGAACTTTATGATGACCACATTGTTAATCAGTTACAAGTCAAACTTGCCTGAAAAGCAGGCAGCAAAGGAGTGACCTTTAAACCTATAAAACTGTTAAATGTGAAGCAGTGAAATTTTTTGGCGTGGGTCACTTTTGTGCTGTTGCACCCCAAAAAATTAATAAATACAATAATAAAGTTGGGTGCATCAATGTAACCAGTGCAAAAAGTTAGTCTAGAGCCCTGAATGGTCAACGAATGAATTACACACACTGTAAAATCATCCATCCATCCATCCATTTTCTGAACCGCTTATCCTCACAAGGGTTGTGTGGCATGCTGGAGCCTATCCCAGCTGTCTTCGGGCAGGAGGCAGGGAACACTGAATTGGTTGTCAGCCAATCGCAGGGCACACACAGGCAAAAACCCACGTGGGCATGGGGAGAACATCCAAACTCCACATAGGAAGGCCGGAACCCGAATCCAACACTGCACCTCTGCACTGTGAGACCGACGCGCTAACTAGGCGACCACCAGACTGCCCGGTATTTTCCAACTGAAAATTCTATTGAGTAATCGGTATTTTTTCTTGGTTATAACAACAGAAGACAAAAAAAAAAAAATATCCACTCTAAAATGAATGACCAACTGGTTTTCATTTTTAGAAATGAATTTAAACTGTGCTGAAGAGCACACTAGTGAATCATTAGTGAGATTTTACACAAATCACTCTGCATATTTTGGTCTATAAGATCAAATGAGGTCACAACTCCAGTAGTCATTTTGCCTGCTAAAAAAAACACACTTAAGTAAGCTTAGTTTGTTAAAAAGTGGTCAGCAGGAATGGCAGCTGTGTCAGGCTGTCAGCACCAAATTGTGCGAAGTCATTTACGTCTATTAAACTGGTTTTGATCTGATGCTTCTCGCATCTTGCTCGTTTAGGGGCTAGCTGGCTATCCGCTAACGCTGGTACCATCGTGAAACACTGGCAAAAGGCGCCGTACAATACACTGTCAGCATAATTGAGTCTTCCTTTTTTGGAGCCTTTAATTAGCGATTAAACATTATTTCAGGATGACATGTTGTTGACATCAGTAGCAGATGATTCAAGTCAGCCGTTACTACGTGACACTCTTGCCGGGAACAACTTAAAAATAAAAGAATAAGCAGAAAGATCTTAAATTGGCCAGACTCTGTTTCTATATGGAACTGGTGGCACCTGGTATCAGCTGTATGGCATAAGAATGCTAAGTGAAAGCTTTTGCTTATCAAAACAAGCGTCGTCTGTTGTTCTTATTACCCGCAGTTTCCTGTCGGTGACATTTCTGGTGTCAAATGATGATCGACAGGAGATGAGAAAAATGATTGATTTCAATATTTGTATTGTTTTTGGTCTAAATATCATAATTTCACCCAGCTCAAGCTGCAGATACATTAAACATTGTTCTTACAAAGTAGCATAACAAAAAGTCTGATCTGTTTTTCTCCCAAATTGAATCAGCTGAAAGAAACTAATGTGATCGGCCCTGATCACGTGATGAGATCAGGATAATTCTAATGGTGATCAAATTATGTTCCAGTTACATTAGTTAATTCTAGTGTGGTGACTTTTTGGAGCCAGACAAACATGAGCATGTGTCATACCCAACTGATTTCCATCAGTCAATAGCTCTAAGGCACAGGTGGCAACGTCCGGTCCTCAAAGGTCTGCATATTTACATGTCTCTGTGCTGCAACACACCTAATTCAAATGATCAGGCTCCTATACAGCTTGCTGATGAGCTGATCATTTGGATCAGGTGTGCTGCAGCAGGTAGAGATGCAGGAAGCATGGAAGACACCGGCCCTTGAAGACCGGACTTTGGCACCTATGCCCTATGGCAGCTGTCCCCAACCTTTTTTGCCCCACGATCCGGTTTAACGTCAGACAATATTTTTAGGGACCGGCCTTTAAGGTGTGGCGGATAAATATAACAAAATAATATGATATGACCTGCATGAAAAGTGTGGTATTTTCTAAACATAATAATAAACACGAATCATGACACGAGGAATGTCCTATCTGGTCGCAACACTCTCTGGTCGCTATGGTAATGTTTAAACGTGCCTTCAAAATAAGATACACTGCAAATACCAAGTGCATGAAAAATACGACCCACCATCGCCGCATATTATGCAGAATGGGCTTGGTGCGTGGGAATCTCCCGTTGAATTAAATCCGTATTTGATGTAGGACTCCTGTGATACTGCCTCATAAATGGAGCCTTCTTTTTTTGAAAGTCATTCGCTCCTCTTCTGTCTCCTGGCTGGGCCTTTTCCCCTTCCCAAAGAAACTTTTGCAGTGGTTGTGAAGGCTCTATATAAAGCTGTATTGTATTCCCTTTAGCATAGCACCATCTACTGGGTACATACGGCAACTGCAGCCACTATTGTTGCTTCTATTCTATGCACCTTATAATGCAGTGCGCCCTATATATGAAAATAGTTTAAAAATAGGCCATTCATTGAAGGTGCACCTTATAATTCAAAGCACCTTATAGTGCAGAAAATACGGTACTTTGTTTTGGAAAATCATTAGCATTTGGGATTTCTGCAAAATGAATCACAAATGAAAGGGAGAGTACAAGTTTGGATCATTGGCTGTCTGTTACAAGTCAGCTCTAAACTGTGATATCTATGTGTCACACACGAACCGTATCACCAACGATAAAATGTTGCTAATATCCTGTTTACACCTCGACATAAATCTGAATCCAGATCAAGAATTTCCGCTTAACCAAGGGGAGCAATTATGAAAAAGATTTTAGTTGACGGATACTCTGAGTGGTTTTGTAATGCACTTTACTTTTTTCCATCTGTATATAGTGAAAAATATAATTTTATAATTCAAATGCGCTATGAATTATGTCCTCATGTTGTACTTCCTCTTGCCCCAGCTTTTGCAGAGGAGATCGACATGCTTCCTGTAGTGGTCGTCCATGGAGGAGCTGGCTTTGTGCCAAAAGAGAGAGCAATGCAGTCCAAGGCTGGGGTTTGCGCAGCTGCTCGATCTGGGTATGCCATCCTCCAGAGTGGGGGAAGCAGCATGGATGCTGTGGTTGAAGCTGTGACCAAACTGGAGAATAACCCCAGCTTCAATGCAGGTGAGGTAACAGCATTCTGTTGCATTTTGGTCTCTGTTTTTTGTTTCCCTCTGGGACACAGGCGACTCAAAAATTGAGTTCCCTGCGAATAATTTCACCAAATAATCAAAAATACGATTTCAAAGGTTAACGTAACTTGAGAGGTGACATTGCTGCCATGCTTGGTTATTGCTGGTGTGGACTGGGCACATCAAAAGGACATTGGAGAATATGTTTACAGTCCATTGTTGTAACCTAATTTATTCTCGATTGGTCATGTTTAATTATTTCCTATTAATGCGAGCCAGACATTCGAACAGCAACCATTATCCCAATAAAAACACTTTGAGTTGCATTTTATGTATGTAAAATGCTGTATAAATAAAGTTTGATTGATTGATTAATTGAAAAGTGTAAAGAGTTTAGATATTGCATGCCTGGACCGATGAAAATAGTGACAAATGGAGAAAAAAAGGATTCAAACAATGAGTTCCAAGTTGGTTGGAAACAAAACACACCGAGCAACAAGAGAGAACAAGAAAAGACTGAGAAGTTAAAGGCTGAAACTGAGCAGCTGTGAAAAATACAGAGTTGTGAAGGACCGAATAAGTGATTAAGTGTACAGTACAAGAGTGACACAGTGGTCGACTGGTTTGCACGGCCGCTTCACAATGCAGAAGTGCAGGGTTCGATCCCGGCTCCGGCCTTCTTGTGTGGAGTTTGCATGTTCTCCCGATCCCTGCGTGGGCTTTCTCCCGGTACTCCACTTTTCTTCCAAAAACATGCATGGCACACTAATGGAACACACTAAATTGTCCCTAGGTGTGATTGTGAGCGTGAATAATTTTTTTTATCTATGTGTGCCCAGCGATAGGCTGGCAACCGGACAGGGTGTGCCCGACCTGCTACCTGAAGGCAGCTGAGATAGGCTCCAGCATGCCCGTGACCCTCGTGAAGCTAAGCAGAATAGAAAATGGGTGGATGGATAGTGTACAAAACATTTTCCACAGACGTCTGGCGAGAGAGCTACCAGCTTTGAACAGTAAATTAGTATTAAAATAAACAAGTATCTTGAGAGCAGTGTTGGACCTGAACGAGTTCAATGAACGAATGTCCATCTATTCGTTCATGTTTTGGTGTGTGTGACAGCTCATTTCCTACATCAGCCAGGTTCCTACCTTAGATTATATTTGTGCTTGCACATTAAAGACAATAGTCTGTAATTCTATCCATCCTTCCATCCATCCATCCATTATCCGGTCCGCTTATCCTAACTGGGGTTGCAGGTGTGCTGGAGCCGATCCAAGCTGTCTTCAGGCAGTAGGCGCAGTACACTCTGAAATGGTTGCCAGTAAACCGCAAGGCACACATAGACAAGCAACCATTTGCCCCTCATTTACAAAATGAACATCCAAGCAACAATGTTTTCCTCATGAGATTGTAGGTTGAAGCTTGCAGCTGTCTAGTGTACAAGTGTGGATGGGATGGGTGGCTACAATGGGGAAACACCAGTATTTTCAGGGAAATGGCTCGCTGTAATGTATTGCGTTTAAAAAACCAAAAGTATGAAATCATTTATTTTGGGAACGATTTTTTTTTTAATGAACTGAACAAGTTCATTAATAATTTTCAACAAGTTCATTAACAAAATGTATGAACTGAACTTTGAACTAGTTCGCACTGCTGTACCGCACGCTCGAAAACGCGAAATAATTCCATTACAGGTGATGTCGACTGTGAGGAGGTGCTTATTATAAAGGCAAAAGTATATTAAATAATAATAATAATGAATGCTATTTCTACTATTTTGCACCACAGATTACAGAGGTTTGAGATCCACTCAATAATAGATCTCAAAACTACTCATGATCTTTTTTTTCATCAATTTAGCCAGGGGGGTGATTTTTAAATACATCCACCACATGTATCAGCAGAATCTGTAGGCCTGCACCTCCATCAAAATCACCCAAATCGTGTTGTACCACCTGCGCCCCAACTTGTCTGTTTTCAGCCACCAAATTGTGGGCCATGTAAAAGAAAATGCCCTCGCTCTGCCGGAATGCCCAGCCTGGTGCAGCGCGGTCTGCCACATTGCCAGCCACGCTCAAGCGTGCACGGAAATCAAAATGCATTCGTTTTTATGCCTCCAAAAAGAAACCCCAATGGTTTCTAGTTTGGAAACAGTTCGCTGAAGACAATCATTTAAGGGTGACACCTCCATAGTGGTTGTGGCAATTATGAAGATATAGTGTCCTCTGCTGTGTGGATCTATTCTCAATTTCTAGCAGCTGCAAAAATTACAGCTACTGGTTCCCATTCCTGCTTTTTACTCGACATAGACGAGCATTGAAGAGCAGAAAAACAAAAGTCAACAAAGCGCAGTGGTTAACTGTGTCAACTTGAAAAAAACAAATTATTGTGCGTCTGTGCCACCACATTTGCCTGTGTGAT